TGAGCACAGTTGGCAGTGTGACATTTTGCACAAGAAATCAGTCAATTAAGAGAACTTGGGATTCTAGTACCATTTTTCTTTTTAACAATACAATTGGTGTTTACTTTTGACCAGTAGCCCCTTAAAGGGGACAAAAAAGAAGCCCGTATAAGTAGCCTAAGCAAATACTCATAGTCAAAAGTAATTTTTGTGTATAATGGACCTCTACATGACGTAAAATAAAGTTGTATTCTGTAGTTTCATTTGGAAATAAATGTATATTACGTATATGTGTAATTGTTGATGAATTGTTGGTAGTAAGAATGGCAAATGTTCGAGCATCCCTGTAATTTAGAATTGAATCTTGTTGAACTGCTTCTATGCCGTTGTTGATCTCTTTAGCTCTTCTGGCTTCTGATGCTATTGCGAGCCCTGGTCGGAGTAGGAGAGGCCAGCTACTCCACCATTGCTCCCACCATCATTGGTGACCTCTTTGTTGGGACCCAACGGAGCGCCATGATCTGTGTCTTCTACATCTTTATTCCTGTCGGAAGGTTAGAAACTCTACTCAACTCAATCTAGGTCCACAACTGTGTGTTTTTATCCTTTTTTGTTGCATATTTTAATCAACCATCATCATTTAGGCCTTCTGTTGTTTGGGATGTAATTGAAAGCATGGATTGTTCCGACATGTCTTGTGAATGGTGCATTCACTGCTGGTGGAAAATTCCTGTATTTGAGAATTTAGGGTCAACTGAACAGCATTTCATTTATAAACAATAGTGCTAGAATCAGATGAGAAAGATGAACAATAAGGAACCATGTACACTGTAAAAGGGATGATGAAAATGGCTTCCTCCTCGATGCATTTGTCTCAAATGTCTCCAATATTGGAGCTTCCAGGCTTAATGCAGCACTGAAACTCGAAAGACAATGATGGCTTTCAAATGCCATACCATGCAGCAGTAACAGAGCCATGACAACAACATCAAGACTCACTCTGCAAGTTAATTTCCAGAATGTGCTGAAATAGCAGTAATGGCAGTAGTGTAAAGTGATTGTTTTACTAAATCAGCTACCAATCAAATCACAGACCTTTACATTCTTAAGATTACATTTACCATGCATTGGTTTCATTTTTTACGTTAAATACCACAGGACAGGTCTACCATATTGTTAAGGTTGTTTATGGCTTGTTTATGGCATTATGACTACTCAGATGGTTTCACCATTGTGTGTGTTTTCAGTGGTCTCGGATACATAACAGGGGCGGGGATTGCTACTGTCACAGGGGACTGGCGTTGGGCTCTCAGGGTGAGAACATTTTCACTATTAGTGAATATAAATGTTAGCTAAGCACTGACAGATATCGACTGATAGATATCTTAACACGTTTCTGTGTTATCAGGTCACGCCCATCATGGGTTTAGTGGGGCTTTTCTTGCTGGTCTTCTTATGCCCTAACCCACCCAGGGGTGCTGCTGAAACCCACGGAGAGGGAGTTACAGAGCAGAGCTCTTACCTGGAGGACATCAAGTATCTTCTGAAAAAGTAGGACATTGAAACTACTACTGGATTAACAATATACTGGACTTTTGAGGCCAACCCAAATATTCATATATATGTCTACATATCAATCGATATTCTTTTCCCTTTTTTACAGAACACATTTTTTATTTTTATTTTTTTATTTTTGATAAGGACGACTTAAGTTTGGTCATTAAAGGAGTGTGACCAGGATATAAAATAAACATGTCAGTGCTCTCTGGTGGATGAACTTTGTAATGGGGACACTGTTTCTATATGATCTGGTTAAATATATACCAATATATCTGCAATAAGCTTATTGGTCAGGTTCTAGTTAATTCTGTAATACTTTGCAGTAGTCCCTAAAGTTTACAGAGATGCGATTATTGATTAATGTTTTCTAATCTTGATTTGTTACTCTGACCCCAGTAAAAGTTATGTGTTGTCAACACTGGGAGTGACAGCTACGGCCTTCCTTGTTGGAGCCCTGGGTTTCTGGACGCCTAACTTTCTGTCCAGAGCTCAGGTCTTCCAGGGACTCCAACTGGAGTGCATCAAAGAGCCCTGCAACCCCACAGACAGGTGGGACATGACCCATGACCTGCATCATCCTTCATATGCTTATATTTCCTTCAAAATAACAACAAAGTTGTAACAACCCTGTCTGCCTCTGCTCCCTGTACAGTTATATCTTCGGTGCTGTGACGGTGGTGACGGGCATTCTGGGAGGGTGTCTTGGCACTTGTTTATCCAGATGGTTTAGGAACAAGGTGCCAAATGCAGACCCACTAATCTGTGCACTAGGCCTGCTGGGCTCAGCCCCCTGCCTCTTTATTGCCCTCTTTGCGGCATCAGCAAGCATTCCTACCACTTATGTAAGAAACCATCTTTTATCTTTGCTGCTGTCCTCTAGCTTAATAGTTGTTTTCATGTATGGCTCCAGAGTCTGTCAGTCCACCACGGAAATATGGATTGCCATGAAATGTTGTGTGCAGACATCAGAGCTCAAAATAGTTTTTTTTCCTCAGTGTCCCGCAACTGTACAGCATTCAACTTTAAACTGTCCCAAACATAACATCCATTGTGCCAAATTGAAGTCCTTTTTTTCATTCATACATAATGAATTTAGTTTAATAACTTTGTTTGTTTCTGTAATTTGCATCACTTAATTGATTCAGTCACTAAGTACATCTGAAAAGGAAATCGAAAGTTGGCAACACTCTATGACCAATTCTTTTTTAATTTAAATACCTTACAATAAAATATCATATATAGTCCATGGCACATAAATGTAATGATTTCATTTGTAATGATACATTTCTCAACATTCCCAGAGTTGCTATTTTTATTGTCCCTGGGACAATGGCACACTCTTCATTTTGATCGCTGACACACATTCATTGTCACCAGAAAATGAATACTATTGACTTTGGTGATCCTCTGACTCTACATAAATGATATATGTATGTACTTTAATCAAAGCCACCACTTTAGTCTCGTTATAAACAAAGAGTTAGGTTATCTGAATGTGCCACACTTTCTACAATGATGGAAGTAGGACAAAACTTGCACATGAATAAATCATAATTATCCATACCTGTGGTGATAAAACCACACAGAAAGATTCTGAATCTCTTCCAATAGAGTTGTATAGGGCCGATAATTAATGCTGTCGACATTAAGCACTATACCTAAACAATGACTTCCTGAAATCCACTGAACTCAATTTAAAATGTTTAGATGTTAAGTTGTTGAACTTTCATCTAATATGTCCAGATGCACTATAGGTAATGTTGATAACATAATGCACAAGTCACTCAGTATAGGCATTAAAGCTCCAACAAAATGGTATAACAAGAGACACAGGGGGAAATCAAAAGTTGAAGCTGTTAACTGATTAAGTATTTATTACATACTTAATTGATCTATCAATTGATCAGTTTCTTAAATGTCTCATTTCAGGTATTCATTTTCCTAGGTGAAGTATTGATATCACTAAACTGGGCTGTCATGGCTGATATACTGCTGGTGAGTTTAATTAATGGGTGTGAGAATACAAATATGGAACAGTCTGCTGAATCTTGAAGTCAACGGGTTGTTTTATTTCAGTATGTCGTTGTACCAACCAGAAGGTCAACAGCCGAGGCTCTCCAGATTTCAGTCTGTCATCTCCTGGGTGATGCTGGGAGTCCTTACCTAGTAGGAGTGGTGAGATTTGGTTCCACTTTTCCACTGTTGTCAATAGTACCTCTGCAAGCTTGACTAAACCACTTCTTTCTGTGTATCATTGAGGATTAATGCTATCTTCACACCTGTACCAGTAGATTTCTGATGCCATACGCAGATCTAAACCTCCCACTCATGGTTGGAACTTCGAAAGTCTGAAGTACAGCCTCTTGCTCTGCCCATTTGTTGGGATCCTGGGTGGGGTGTTTTTCCTCCTGACTGCCCTCTACATTGCTGAAGACAGGAAGGCAGCTCTGCCATTGGTTGAAGGTACACGTACCTTAAATGCATTGTTAATGTCTTTTCATCCCCTTGTGAACAACAGAAAACTGTACTGTGATACAGTACAAACATAGCTCAAACAGAACAGCTCCCTGCAAATTCTACTGTGTTGAATTGTTGTTGAAGGTTTCATTTTGTGTTTTGTAAGAGTTATGCCTGGATGATTCAATGGCACGTTACTACGTCCTCACCACTGTGTTTGTTTGTTAATGTCGGTGTATATGCTGGAGTGTCCAAGTCTTCCTGAGAAACAGCCCTCTATTCAACTCATCTACTACAAGATAGCACCCCTCTTTATTAAGTTAAGAACAAATTCTCCTTATCTGCACACATGCCCCAATAACACACAGGCAGTCTAGATTTGCTGGTAACTCAGAGGCAGAGATGGCCCAGACTTGATAAAGACAGCATTGTCTTTCTGAGTTGACCTCATTCTCTCCATTCTGTTAGTTGGTGTGTGAGGAAGCTGCAGGGCGACTTAGTCGGCATCACCTAGCAGATAGGAGCTGGTTCCCTCCTAGAGGCGCTTCTCTGATCCTGCACGAACAGGATCTATATATACCTTCTCACTTAGTTTCCATGTCATTCTAATGAATGCTGCCTACTCCAAATTAAAATGTTTCAAATGTGTTGTTGTGCATGTGTTTTACCAGAAGATCCCCCACCACCACAGGATCCTTCATCTGAGCCCTCCATGGAACTGAAAAACCAGGGAGACGGGAATAAAGCCGGACAAAAGCAGCCATGAAATTAATTTATCTGTAAATATTTTAAGTTAAGTTAAAAACTATTGGTGTGGACAACAGGATGTTGGAGCTGGCTTGAAATGATCCTTTTCGTGTCACTTCACAGCCACATACTGATGGCAGATGCTTTTAGAAAATGCTTTCCGTTCACTATGACTTGAATTGGATTTTCTACAGTTAAAATCAAGTCAGTTTTATTTGTGTAAGTCAAAATCACAATTTGCTTCAAAAGGCTTTACAGTCTGTACAGCCTACAACACCCTCAAACATAAGACCCTCAATTCAGATAAGAAAAAACTCACCCCAACAGGGGAACAATGGAAAAAGAAAAGTGTAAACAATGATATTAGTACCTAAAAAAAAACAAAAAACATATGAATTGATTTGCCTACCTGTGACAGTATTATTACAATATTACCTCCCATTTAGGGGCACTGCAGTATAGTTGAGTAAATGCTTATATTGATATTTCCTGAATGGAAACGTTGTTTTTAACTGTTCATTAAAAATTTGCAAGCAAAAACTGAACATCCCCTTCCTTCAGTTCAAGTTCTCCTTTTTTTTCTCACTTGCCTCATAGGGCTTCTGTACTGATGTTATCAATCCCTCAACTGTCAGAATTTATTAAGAGGTTAGGTTTTATTGGTATCTAGCAGTGTAGTTGGAGATTGCAACCCCCTCACTTCAACCTTTCCTTTTCAAGCACCGAGGAGAAACTAGGTGGCCGCAGAATGTGCAAAAAATACAAAACACACATATTTAAAGCAAGTGTTTGTTTTGTCGGTTCAGGGCTACTATAGAAACATGGTGTAAGATATAAACTCATTCAAAGGTTACAAAAACACAACGATTCTTATTTTCAGGTAACTAATAAAAACATACCTATGAATATTATATTCCATTTCTGCCGATAGATCCTCCTAAATACACCGTTACACACCTTTAATTGACAAAGAAATATATTACAGTAGACCCAGCTGTATATCAATATATCAGTTTATAGTAACATTTGACACCTGAAACTCACATCAAAAAAGTAATGGAATTATATTTATATTTGCCCATTATATTCTAAAAGAAATGGCAGAAGAAACCTTAAGCTTTCTGCAAGTGATAATCCAGCCCCAAGACAATTTCTTTGCTGACACCAAAATTGTTAAAATGGTCGGCTTCACTATCATCCACTTGTTTTTTTTCCTCTTAATGAGTCTCCTGGATTTTGCTGACACTCATGCTGGCCAGTTTGGGCTACGGTGAATCTCAATCCATACTGAGATTCATCAGATTAACCTCTCCATCCATGAATGTCCCAGGCAGAATACAGCTGGTGCTTCCTAATGAGGACCACAGGGGCCTCAGGCTGAACTATAGCATATGCACATAATGGAGTTAAAGATGGAGGATTTACATTCTTTATTCTCTGTATATGCTGTAGCACTTACTGGATATCCATCTCATAATTGCACTTTAACAACCAATTTCAGTGGATCTACTCTGGAAGTGTCACAGAACTCTGACTGCAGGTTTTCCATGCACTGTAAGAACGTGTAAGGAGTGTAGAAAAATGAATAAATTATATATTCTGTCTATTTTCTAGACATTTATAAAGTGTCCACTAGACGGCGCAGCTGCATCACTGTAAAAAATGCTATCATTAGGATCCCAGTTGTCTTCCATTAGCGAGGTACAATGGATTTGCCAGATGTTCACTGGGACCTCTGGTAGAACTGCCCTAAAATGTTAATGTTTGCAGCTGCCAAGGCAGCATGCATAATGTACAGATTTACTGTAATGGTCTTTAATATCTCTGTGTGTCTTGGGCAGCACTATTACATGTAATGATCTTACTGTAATGATAAGTAATTAGCATTCCTGTTAGAAAAAAATGTGTAAGACGATGCTATACCAAGTCTAGCAAAATATTTTATTGATTTGGCCTTTAAGGGACAAACAATAAGAAAGAAATGTATTTAAAGAAACAAAAGGAGTCCAACAAGGAAAAATATATTTGTACACATATATATCCTGTCTAAGCCTTTATGTTATTTCATGTTTAGTTTCATTGATAATTATTGACTTAATTTACATTACATTTTCTATTTTTTCTATTTCCATTATTTATGTTGATGATATGTAACACCATACCAACTACTACTACTACTACCTATACAGTGTTGGCACTGCAATATAAACCCACACAGAGCATTTACATATACTTGGCTAGTGTGGCTGAAACCAACTCTACCATATATGATTTAAAAGTGGTAAGAGTACATAACCAGGCATGGTAAATACATGTATAATTACTTATATAATATAGCCTACTCAAATTAATGTTATGTTTTTAAAAACAAAAAGTCCCCTGTTTCTAACCACAATCTGCTCCTCCATTGAGCAACTGTATTCTTCAAAACAAAATAGGCTTACAGCATAAGTCTCCCCCCCTTAAAATCAATATGTTGCCCAGTACCGCACATGTATTTATACACTAAATGCAAACATACGGCAAACATAATTTTGAACTTATGGTGTTTAGTTATGGTGAGTAGTCCTTTCCATTTTCAGTTTTCGTGTTGTATGGTGAAGGCAGGTGTGATATTGAAGGGTGAAGGTGACAGGAACCTGAGAACAGCACACACTGAAATCCACCAATTTTGTACTTTTACACAAGTATGAACCCCATACAAATCACTCATTAACCATTTCTCTCAAGCGTTAAAGGATCTCCTCATGAATAACACTGACATGGATGTTTCCCTCAGTTGCCTGTGTGATGTGTTACCATGTTAAACCAACCGTATGAGTGTCTGCCTCTGACACTTGCACTTCGTTTGAGTGTTTACTTTTGATATTCACTGAACCCTAAACTGTGAGTGTAAGTCGTGCCCTCTGCTTGTCAATCAAATTCTACACTGTTAGACTGCTGCTGCAGAGGTGTCTGACGTCCCCTGGCAAATCCTTACAGCTTCATGTCATTGCGTGTCTCCATTGTTTTGTACTGGAGTAAACCACGCAGGGAGGTCAAAGGGCATTGCCCTTGTCATTCTCAAGTACAAGGTCATACAATAATTGGGCTGCACTGTCATAATAATATTGTTTACTCTTAATAACTGCTGCACAGTCAGACTTGGTTGAGGTGGAACTGTGTACATGAATTTATCTGCTGATTTAAGACAATTCTGAACAAATATTTCCTACTAAAGTGTTGAAACTGTTGATGGAACCTGACATTTACAGATGGATGAAAGCTGTTGTTCAAGGACGCTAAGCCATTGTTAAAGGTTTAATTGCTTTATTGTGGAATTTGCTGGTATTTCCTTTTGTTTTTGAACATCTCAGCCTTACACTTGTAATTTTCCAGAAGTTATGTGATTACTCAGTACTCAGCTAAGGGAATAGACTGGGCAGCAGGGCATGTATGTGGAATAACAAGCAAACACACACGCACAGTAAAAGGCATGTGGAAAACATTCTAGAGGCAACAGTTCAACCTGCAATTAAAACACAATAGGTATTGTGCGCAACGTTTCTGCAACACTTTATCTGCATACCTCTCCGTTTCCCGTGTCGACCCTGGCTGCACAGGAAGCTGTCACAATGGCTAATAAATTGTCCAGGCCAATCAATGAGGGAGCCAGGAGCCAGGGGGAGAGCGGATACAGTCCGTGTTTACTTAGGGATGGCAAGCATTTTAGTCATGAAAACAGCTTCAGACACAGTCACACTAAACAACATGCTGATACACAAAATATTGCATCAGTCAGCATTCAATCAGAATGCTGTCGCGATATCAATAATAACCAGTAAATGGCTCATGTGCTACACACATATTGACTGGAACAGATGAGACAGCTTATCTGCTGCATGTTTGTGTTATTCTCACCCTTCCACAGATCAGCCGCAGGACATTGATAAGAGACGTCAGACCACATTTGTGGATGTGAAGTTGTACTCTTTCCTTATCACCAGAAAACTGCTGCAGTGACATGACATCATACAGAGGAAGAGTCCTCTCCACCCTCTGCAGGGGCCCTTATTTGGACAATTACATCATATGGGCCTTCCTGTCTTTACACCTCAGCTAACAGGGAGAAATATACAGTGCATACACAGTACAGTGTCAGGAGAAAAACGAAATCAGTGTTAGTTATGTAAAAAAGAAAAAAAAACACCCCACAGCACAGTTCTTAATGTGTTTGATGACAGGAACTTAATGAAATGTGTTGATTGGACTGTTGGGTGTGATAATTCAGACACATGCAACAGAAAATGTAATTAATTAACACAGGGGTTCTGTCATGCAAACTAGGCAGTTGCAGTCCAAGAATGAAACATTGCTGGAAGAAAAAGAAGTAAAAGTGTCATTTTCAGCTTAATTTGTAAAATGTGTCCTATATACGTAATATGTCAAAGATTCCTATTTGTGTCTGATTTTGATACAAGGCTGGATAGCAGATTCATTTTTCTGATATGCTTACTGTCATGCAAGTGACTTTGTCTGGAGCAGGAGTACAAATTTGGACTACAATGAAAATGCAGCCAAATCTGAGGTTTGCCCTATAATGGCATATGCACATTCTGGTCCTATGTATTTAGCATTCCTGTTTCAGAGGCTTGCTGGCCGCTGGGCTGGAGAGAGCTGATTCACAGACACAGCCATGGCAATGGGGTAATTACAAAGACCCATGCAGTCTATAAATATGAGCTACAGCACCACACAGATCTGGTCTCACTGCAAGTCAACCTCAGCCACATAGCAGCTCAAATTTCTCCAATTAGGCAGAGCTTCATGTGAGTTTTTCAGTTGTATAAAGAATGCAGTCGGAGGAAAATTATTCAAACAAATGAGATGAACATGATAATACGGGGGTAGTGAGTGAAGTCAGGCCTGGTTTTACCTCCCAGACAGATCAACTGAGACTGATGACCAACAGCCAAGGAGTCCAGCTTGAATGGAGCTGTCGAATAAATAATTAAATGAGCAGATAAAAGACGCTGTCTCTGCCTCTGAACACTATATTTAGTCGCCGCTGTATCTCTGCCTCCTGCTGCTGGGCTGTACAGTATAGCCTCCAGATCAGACTTCCAAGGAGTGGAGACATCAGCACAGATCTATTCAAATCCTCAGCTGCTCTGCCGCGAGACACTCACACACTGTTGCTTGAGTTTGGGAGTGCATGGCAAGGGGGGGGGGGTAGATACAGCAAGCTACTGCCAGGCACAGACAGTCCAGAGGTCAGGAGGTCACAGTGGATGAGAAAAGGTCAGCCCACACCTCAAGACTGACCGAAGCCTAGACAGCACCGGCTCCAAAAACAAAGGTATGTGAGAAGAGTGGAAGAAGGGTGGTCCAGTGCCAGCAGGCATCAGTGATGGTCACAGGTACTAACATGTGTTGATGATAACAGTTTAGCCTTAAAACGGACCATCTTGCTGAATGTTGCTAAATAGCTTGCTATTACAGGTAATTGTAAGTCCATTTAGTCCCATGTTGGGCACATGCAAATATTG